CTACGCGGTGGGGCAGCGAACCGAGCGCAACTACACCTACGGCCGCGGGTGGCCCGACGCGCAGCCGGAGAGGGTCGGCCACGGCGACGGCGACGGCACCGTCAACGTCGAGTCGGCGGAGGTGTGCCGCCGCTGGCCGGGCACAAACGTGACGGTGCTTCGCGGTGTCGCGCACATGGACATCGTCAAGGACGGCGACTTCATCGCCGCAGTTGAAGCCTTGCTAGCCGACGTAGGGGCGCCGCCCGCTGAAGGAGTGCGGGCCGAGCGGGGGAGTGAGATTGCTGTGTGAGACCCGCGCTCGGCTAGCGCTCGGGTGGAGGGGCGTGTTGTGCCTACGTGTTACTCTGTTGTTTTGTCCCATAGTGACGTATAAAAAGCCCTGATATAAGCCCTGCTACCCTCTAAGCTTCTCACAATTTACGTCGCGTCATATGTCATATCCCACCGCATCTCCGTCAACGGCGAACGGGCACAACCGCGAACCGGCCCGGCCCCTGGCGACCGGCCCGTGAGCGCTGACAGCAGCAATCTCAGCAGTTGACAGCAATCAACACATGGAGCTCTCGACCAGATCCCTCCTCCTACCTACGTTCCTAGCAACGGCTCGCCAGTCCAGTCCTGCCACGGTGGCAACCGCGAGGCGGCAGTGCGATCGATTCGTCACGTCATCATCACGTTCGGCGCAAAAAGGCCCCTGCGAGCCTGCTTCGAGCCACCACCCAGGTAAAAGGTTGACATGAGATTCTCGACGTGCTCCATGTCGGCAGCCTTCCGTTTGACAGAGGCACGTTGCAGCCCGCACGGTGGCAATCGCGCGCGCTTGGTTGGTGACTCGATGTCCATGCTGTCATCCAAGCTCGCCAGCGCGGCGCTGGCGTCGCGCTTGGGCAAAACTTCGGCCACGCTCGGCCCAGCTCTCAGGTGGACAAGATGCCGCTGGAGGCGTTTCAGCGAAGGGTCGGGATTCAGGATGATGAGGGGCGGCTGGACGCGGTCGGCTGGAGCGGAGAGTGGCTGAGCAAACGGCTTGTATTCCAACAGGAGCGGCTGCTCAGCAGCAAATAGTGGAGGGAGTGGCGCCGCGCAAATGTGAGAGCCTTGCTGCATATCGGCGGCGGCGGCGCCGCGCAGGCCCTGCTCAGCTCCGTCATCCGAGCAGAGAAGAATCTCCTCGGATCCGTCAGACATGAGCTCGACGAGGCGCATGATGAGCGGTGGATCTGGAGACGCGCTAGCCCGCTGAGTGGCGTGGAACCGGATCTCGCGGTTGCCCGGGCGGCAGCTCTCGACTCCTCTGGATTGTGTTTTCACAGCCTTGTTCTTGAGAAGAAAATTGTGAGGTGGTCTGTGAGAGGTTGAGGTGCGAGCCCTGGAGGCCCTGGGAATGGGGGGAGACTACCCGCGGGCCTAGAAGGCCCGCGCGCAGGGGGGTGGGGCATTGAGACCGGTCATGAATGAGTGCGCGACACGCATGTTGCGAGCAGCGTTATTGATGTTTTGCGCGTCGCCACAGACGGCGGCGCGCGAGAGCTGTTGCGAGTGGTGCTGGACAAAGCCCCGGGCGCTGCCGGAGGCTGTGCCGTAGTCGGTGCGGTCGACGGCGCTCGGGCTGCCGACCTCTTTGGCGAAGTTGAAGATGGTTCTCTATTTCTCTTGGTCGGCGGCGCGATGCCGCCCTGGCTTTCGACGAGACAAATTTTGACGATTCCGTTCTTGACATGGAGCGCGTCGTAGTACTGTCCCTTGTGCCCTTTGACCCAGCCTTTGCCGGTCGCATGGACGAGCGGGCCCTGTGACTTGTGGCCGCGCTCTTTGCACCCAAGAACCTTGAGCAAGGTTTGGTCGAGGGTGTTGCCGAAACCAAACTTGTGGCCCAGTGACGCACAGCATCCGCCGTGTGCCGCCGAGCCCTGCCCAGCCTGCCTCGTCTTTGTGAGGGCGCTAGGCACCTTGACTTCGTAGTGGACATCGCGCTGGGACTGCAGGTCCCCGCCGATCTCGCACATGTCGGTGACGTGCCCCTCGTTGAGATGGAAAGTCGTCTGAGGGTTCGCCTTGTCACCGAGCACGAGCTTGCCGCAGGCTCGTGCACGGACCATGTTGGCCGCCGCATACATGGTGCCGTTGTGACGAATGTTGTGCTCGCACGGAATGTCCTTCGATCCGTTTGCAAGCTGGTCGCCCTTCCGCATACCGATGGTGACTGTCTCACCAGCCGCCTCCTTGGCGTCGTACACGTACTTGGCGCTGGAGATGTAGTAGCCGTGGCGACGCTGCAGCGCCGTGGCAAAAATCTCCGAGGTGATTTTGGAGGAGTGCCGGCCGTCGGGGCAGAGGTCTCGAGCCACGCTCCAGAGGCGAACTGAGAGACGGCGATGAAGCGTGTCGCCTCCCGATGTTTGACGCCGTCCGGGTCGTCCATCTCAGCATCCAGCCGCTCGCAGGCGGCGAGGCAGCGAAGCCACCGCTCGTGCGACGCAATCTGAGCGAGCGTGCCCTGTTTAGGGACTGGAGAAGTGCTCTGCTCAGAGTAGAGGTCGGAGACGGGCGGCATCTTGCTAAAGAGCGGGAGGCCGGACGGACGGTAGTACCCAAGGTTGTAGTTGTTGACCATCCCAAAGTCGACATGCTTGGCACGGGCGCGGTAGACGCCCCAGAGCTTGATGCAGCGGTCGCGGATGGAGTTGTAGTGCTTGTTGAAGTGGACGAGCAGCGGCGGTTGCGCGAGGGGCGGTGCTTCGTCGCCGCCAGCGAGGGCGTGGCCGTGGTAGGCTGGCCTGTCACGTAGTTCACAGACCTTGAGCACTTGAGCACTGGATAGGGTCGATTCCGCATGGTACGGGACCCCTCGATCGTCTCGCCCTCCCTCACTGGTGTGTTCAGGGGGGGGGGGGGGGGTCATAACAAACACGGTACAGGATCGAGGTGCACGCTGCCAGAGCAGTGTCGTCCCCCCTCTCCCCGACGGCGATGGCGGTGTGACCGATCGAGCTACAAGAGGAGCTTGTTCAGCAGGATCCGGAGTGGCCAGATGCACTACCTCACTGGGCCTGAGACCATCCACGACGCATCCATCACCGTCTCGGATTTGTGTGGAGTCGAACCACTCCGGGATGGGGCAAGCCCATCGATTTACGTCGTGTTTTCCTCGCCTGCAAGAGACAGTGGGGGGGTGCGACCTGATTAATTGTCAAAATTCCTGTTGTGCAAAAGGGGAGGGGGCTCTTACCGAATGTGTGGCGGGAAAAGGCAGGGAATGGGCCCCGGGGAAGGGCCGGGGGGGGGGGGGGGGGCCCCTCCCGGCAAAAAGCATCAATTAATAATAGTAATGAAGAAATATTGCTCGGCCGTTCATGAAGTCCGTCTCGATCTGGAGGAGACGGGTCAACCCCGTGAGGACCAGATCACGAGCAATAGTCGACAACTTAAGGCTGATTGGCTAGACGAGCGGCCTACCCCCAACGGGGCAGTCTGGCAACGCGTGGATCCGGCCCGCCTCGCTCGGCGGGTTACGGTTTAGCGCGACGACCGGGGGAGCTCTGATCGCCGTACTCACCGGGACGCTGGTGAGGTGACGGTGGGAGGGCACCCTCCCAGACAGCCCCTCCCGACGGGGACGCCATCACCCTCGCCCAGGGATCTACAATGCTGTCTTAAGGTCCGACCTGTGGGCTCTGCCTGCGCTCGGCACCGGGCACCGCCTCGGTGCACAAAATGCGCCTGCGGGCGGACCCTCACAGATTACAGATCACTCTCGAGTAAAAGAAAGAAAGAAAGAAAACAAAAACGCAACGGAGGGATGGGAGGACGGCACGCCGCCACCACGCGGTGTCACACATTTTTTTCTCGCTGTCGACACGTTTTCGCGGCAGCCTGTCGTCGGCCGCAGCAGCTGGAGGCGCCCGTCCGCGGCGGCAATTTGTCTCAGCCGGTCCTTCTCTCTTCAGACATGGTCAAGTCTGGGCACACGCCACTGCGTGTCTGGATCCTTCGCGCGGCCGCCTTTGCCGTCGCCCAGGCCACCGGGGCTGCGATCGGCCTTGGGGGTCCAACCTTCATCGCTCTAGCAATCCTAGCCATCTTCACGTGCGGCACCGGACAGACAGCTTGGCGCTCCGGCGGCGCCTCCGCCTACTCGGTATTCAACGGCGGCGAGCGGATCGCAGGTACGCTGCACGCGGAGCAGCTGGACCAGCAGATTCGGCACGGAGCGGTGCCGCGCGGCGCGAAAGCTCCCGAGGAGTCGGCCTTTGTTCGCACGGCGGTGCGCGGCTGGGGCGGTGGAAGCCAACAGGCGCCGGGAGCCACATCAAGAGACGCCGCCGATGGCGCGGGCGTCACGCAGCGGAGGGTGGCGGCCGCCAAGGCAGCCGAGGCGCGGGCGGCCGCAGCCGCGGCTAGGACTTGATTCCAGTCAAGCCGCCTTTGTTTTCAAATGCTACCTCGAGCCGTGTGATCTGACATCTGTGATCTGTGTGAGAGTGTGAAGAGTGTCGTCGCCTGCAGGCAAATCTGCATCTGAAAATGTCAGCTCCCACCTCGTAGGATTCCGGCGATGATCGAAAGCGCTCGTGGAAGAAGAAAAATGTGCTAGAATGTTCAAAAAAGAAAACGCGCTCCGCGAAAGAGCGGGAGCCTCGCCACTGTCCACCGCGAAGTGCGCGAAGGAATGCCGACAAAGCAGGCCTCGAAGACGCCGACTGTGATCTCCAAGCGCTCCAGCACTCGCGAGCGCAAGGCTCCTCAGCGGTTCCGGCCGTCTGCCAGCGAGATGCCCTCGTGGCTGGAGACAATGCTCCACGACATTGCGCTCAAAACAGTCGCGTCCTCGTCTCTGCCGTTCGAGGCGAGTGCGCTGGCGGCGCTGGAGGAGGCGCTGGAGCCGCTTTTGGAGGAGCTGTGCAAAAATGCTCTTCAGAGGGCGCTTGCGGACGGGCGCGACGAGATTACAATCGATGACATTCAGGCGGTCACCAAGACTGTCACCGCTGCCAAGAAGAAGTGACTTCCGGTCTCCGCATGTAGCCGTTTGCCGGCTCGAAGTGAAGCGCTCGTCGCCCATCGTACGTTATCGTCATTTCTCTGCCGTGACGGCGAGTGCCGTAAATCTGCTGTGTAGCCGCGAGAAGTGTGCGCCGCCGGCCGAGTCGCGCGGTCACGGGTCACGCTCACGGCTCACTCCAGACACGCCGGACGCGCGAAGAATGACTGTGGTCGGTGAGAGCGCTCATTGATGGGGGTGTCACGTCGAGTAATTTATACATACATGCATCACAACGCAAGTACATTAGACACGGCGTTCTCGGATCTCGCGCATAGCGACAAGCGAGGGCCGAGGGCCGCTTAGCGTCACACATCCCACACGGCCGGCTTCCACAGAGTTCAAACTGCCCCCCCACAGCCGCGCCCTGTGCTCTCTCTCTCTCTCTCGGGCCGGCGGACCGGATCGGAGCGCAGAGCGGGCATGCGTGCGGCCGAAGGGGGAGGGCACGCACGCCCTCCGATACAGCCCGAGGTCTGGTGTCGTCGTCGCGGGGACGGGCTGCGGCCGGAGGAAGAATAGGGCACGAGCTCACTTCCACTCGGCGCGCAGCACATCGACGACGGACTTGAAGGCGAACCACTCCGGGATCTCCTCGCCCGCGCGCAGCATCTTGCGGAACTTGGTGCCGGACAGCTTCATCACCTCGATGCCCTTCTCCTTTGCCTCGTCGGCGGTGATGTAGTTCCCGTCGGGGTCGCAGACGAGGTTGAGGGAGGGGACGGCCTGGGGGGAGGGGGGAGGGGGCGGGGCGGCGGTCGGGGCGGGCGGGGGAGGGCGGGGCGCAGGGGAGCACGCGGCGGGCTGGCGCACGCCTGCACTCCGAGCTCGTCGGCGCGCGCCTTCGCGAGGTCCTGGGCCTCGAAGGCGCCGTAGAAGTCGTCGCCGGTGACGGACGACTTTGAGCCGGCCATGTCGCGGCCGATGATGAAGTGCGTGCACCCGAAGTTCTTGCGGATCATCATGTGGTGGATCGCCTCACGCGGGCCCGCCATGTGCATCGAGTACGGCAAAAACGCCCAGCGCGTCCGCTTGCCGCTCGGCGTGTCCTTCGTCTCGTCCTGGAGGACGACGTAGGTCTTGTGGCGGACGGAGCCCGGGATGTCCTCCTCCTGCGTCGGGCCGCACGTCGGGTGCACCAGCACGACCGCGTCCTCGCCCACGTTCGGCGCGTCGAGCGCGCGCGTGAAGAGCTCGTAGTGCGCGCGGTGGACCGGGTTGCGGCACTGGAAGGCGACGACGTCGGCGCCGTCGGGCAGCGTCTCCCGCACCTCCTTGGGGGTGGCGCACGGGAAGTCGCGCGTGGGCACGCCCAGGCCCTGCAGCGGGCCGCCGACGTAGGTGCTGCCGCGCTCCATCGCGACCATCCGCACGCCGGGGTGCTCAATCGAGGCGGTGCCGTAGCAGTTGAGGCACTCCTTGGGCTTGTCGGGCGTGAAGAGCGACTCGACGGTCATCACCGCCATGTCCGTGCCCTGGTAGGTGAGCAGCAGCTTGCTTCCCACCTTGACGTTCGCGTCGCCGGTGTCCATCACGACGGGGAGGCCAAAGATGAGGCCCGACGGCAGCTTCATGTCCTCGACGACGGAGTTGTACTCCGCCTCGTTCATGAAGCCCGTGAGCGGCGAGAAGCCGCCGTTGCACAGCAGCTCCACGTCGCACGACTGCCGGTCCGTCAGCTCCACCTTGATGTCGGCAGAGGCGGCCGCCGCGGCGGCGTCCGAGCTGAAGAGGTCGACGAGCGTGCCGCCGTGCGGCGTCTGCTTGGCGGCCATCGTGACGCCGGAGGCGACGCCGCGGCGCATGCCCATGCCCTGGCCGGGCAGGAAGGCAGGCAGCGTGAGCGCGAGCGAGAGCATGATGTGCGAGCCACGGGAAGCTTGTGGGTGAGCCCAGCCAGATTCGGCCGCCGGGTTTCTTTTTGTTCCGCTTCCAACTCCTCTTATGTTTTTTGTTGCCCCTCTCTGGTTGGTGTGACTAATTGTTGGACGTTTGCTTAGAATGGAGGAGGATCTTATGAAGCGTCGTCTCCTTTACACTTCATCACGTGTTAGTTCTCACTATATTCTTGCATTTTTGCTCCCGGCTAAGGGAGCAAGCAAGCCCACTCAACCCCAAGTACTCACCATTCTTACAGTGGTGTAGCTTGTGCAGAGGCTGCAGCCTCTGCTGGGGCGGAATGCGCGGGGTTTTCGGCGCGATGCCCTCGGCGAGTACACGCTACTGCTGTGCCGCACGCTCTCCTGCGCGCGCGTGACGTGTGGGACGCGTGCGCTGCGCTCAAACGTCGCGATTTGGCGATAGGCGCTCGAGCCGGCGCACAGCGGGCGGGTGCGCCGCGCAGGGGGGGTCGGAGGGGTGCGAGAGGGGGCGTGGGTCGGGCGCGCACCGGCTGGCTCCGGGAGCGGCCGTCACGTCGAGGAGTGGGGCTGTCGGCGGCTCGAGCGCCGAGGCGAGCCGCTCTGCTGCGCCGCCGACAGCCCCTCTTCCGAGCCGGCGCGTGGAGGCGAGCCGCGGCCGGTGTCGCTGGTGCGGGGGCGGCGAGGGTTCATCGGCCGGCAGCGAGAGCGACCGTCATGAATCGCGCCACCAAGACCGCGCGGCACGTACGCGCACTTGCCGGCCTCGAGGCGCGCTCTCCTTGCGCGGCATGCCCTGTGTGTGTCAGCGCTTCGCCTCGGAGCCGCTCGACTGTACGAGAGTCGGGCTCCGGCCCTCGGTACCACGGCAGCGTCGGCGTGCTCCCTTCCGGCCGCGACAGGCGCGAGGCGGGTGGCGGTGCGGCGGCTGCTGATGCTGCTGCCGCGCAGAGCTGTCGTGCACCCGAGAAGTGGCACACAGCTCGAAGGCGGCGTCGGCGACCGCCGCGCTGGCTCTCTCTCCTCGGCAGACGCCGCGTCGCGTCTCGGCGGCGGCAGCTGCTTCGCCGCGAGAGTAGCGAGGCGACGCACGCGCCTCCGCTCTGCGGCAGCAGCCTCTAGCGAACGCGCCGGCATAGCGCCGGGCCGGGCGAGGGCGAGCCGAGAAACACGTTGTGACGGCCCTCGTGTGAATCGCTTATCCGGCGCTCGAGGAAATAACACGGTTCGGGCTTCAAGTTACTTCGAAACCTGTAACGGCGAAAGAAAACGGAGGAAAACGCGAGAAAAGAGAAGGGCTATTGCTCAAAGGCTCCGTCTCTCTGAGAAGAATAGGTGTGCTGCGCTGTAGCGGCGACAGGCGACGGCAAAAATGCAAGCCCCGCCCCTGGCCACTGTATAGCAAAACGCGGGCCTGGATGTTCATAGCATCGGGCACGAATCGGCACTCCCAAAGCGTAATTCCAGAGCTCCCTGCCACGCTTGGAGAGGCCGATTCGGCCGGCCACGCTGCGCCGCCGGCTCGCTGGAGATGTGGCCAACCTCGGTTGCGCCGGCCAGCACCGGAGCCCCCGCCGCTCCCGCCGGCACACCGGGAGTGGGGGCTCCGCCGGCGGCGTCGGCCGGCGGCGCCGCGCACGGCGCCGCCGCAGCGGCTGCGTCAGGCGGGGCGCTCTGCGCCGGCTCATCAGGCAGCTGCAGCCAGGCATACCTCCCAAGCGCTGGTCTAGACGCCGCCGCAGCCGGCCAGGCCTACCAGGGCGGGCTGGTTGCCAATGCGGCGCACGCGGTCTACCTGTGCGACCCGCGAACGGAGGACGAGTGCCTGGCGCGCTCGCTGCTCGGGCTGCCTGCCTCCCAGGCGCAGGTCGTGCGCGGCATCGTGCCGGAGCAATCGCTGCTGTTCCTGTTCAATGTGCGCGCGCGGCCGCCGCCATGCCCTCGCAGCGATCCATTCCACGCGCACACCGCTGCTGCCGCGGCGGCCGGCGCGCCAGAGGCCGACGCCGCGCCCGCCTGCTGACCAGGCAGGATTGTGTCGCGCAGGTGCGATCGCGGCTGCTGTTTGGCGTGTTTCGCGCGACGAGCTGGCCGGAGCACAATATCGAGCCGCTGGCGTGGGGCCACGAGACGGGCGTCTCTCGCTACCCGCTGCAGGTTCGCGTGCGGCTGCTGACGCCCTACGTGCTGCAGCTGCCCGAGAGCACGTTTCGCGAGGTGCTCGACTACCACGGAACCTTCAACCGCTTCGACCTGCAGCTGGACCACCAGCAGGCCAGCTCGCTCGTCTCCCTCTTCCACCACTTCGGCGTCCCTCGCCAGCCCTCCGCCGGAGGCTGCGCGAGCGAGCAGCCGGCGGGCAGCTGCGGCGTCGACGTGGCGCGGGCGCGCTCCTCGCGGCTTCGCGCGGTGCGCAACGGCGTCATCTTCATCTGCGACTCGGTCACGGAGCAGGAGCCGACTCTCCCGGCCCACGCGCACGCCGCGCGCCGCCGCCGGCGGCGAGGAGTCGCCCTCACGTCCCTCGGCCCCCGCCTCGTCGCAGGAGTGCCTCGCGAGATGCCTGCTCGGGCTGCCAAAGACTCAGGTCTCCCTGCTGTCCAAAGTCACAGACTCGTGCGCGCCGCCCCGCCCCGCGCCCACGCACGCGCACGGCGCACGGCGCACGGCGCACGGCGCACGCGCGCCACGCGCGGTGTCCGCCCCGCCACCGCCGCCGTGCCTCGCTCGCGTCAGCCGGCACGGCGCGCCAATCGAAGAGCGCCAACGCCACCGCGCCCGTCCGCAGCTCTCTCCTCTTCCTCTTCAACGTGCGGACGCGGCAGCTCATGGGCGTCTTCCAGCCGACCTGCCCCGCCGGCATGGACCTGGTGCCGAGCGCGTGGGGAGGCCGCTTCCCCGTGCAGGCACTCGCGCCGCCAGACCACCGAGCCGGAGGGAGGGAGAGGGGGAGGGGGAGGGGGAGGGGCGGAGGGAGGCGAGACGAGACCGGCCGAGCCCCCGCGCGCGAGCCTTTCGCCTCTCCTCTCGCGGCCTCCAGATGGACCCGCTCTCCCCCGCCTCCGCCTCCGCCTCGCAGGTTCGCTTCCGGCCGCTGCAGACGCACGCGTGGTCCGGGCAGGTGGAGATACACACATGTATATAGAGCTCCGCCCCACCTCGCCCCGAGCCGCGCGCCCTCGCCGACCGAGACGCGCGCACGTGCCACCGCCCACTACTCCTGCTCAGCCCCAGCCCCGTCCCGCGCCGCCCAGGTCCTGTCGTTGCCCGAGTCGTCGGTGAGCGACGTGTTGCGGTACAGAAGCGCGTCGACGCGCTTCGACCTGCTCCTGCGCGGGCAGCAGCTCGAGAGGCTGCTCGCCGTCTTCGCGCACGCGGGCATGCCCGTCGGCACGGCGCCGGGGCTGCAGCCGCAGCAGCTGGTGCCGACGGGCAGCGACGCCTACCTCGAGCCCGCCCTGCCCTTTGGTCTGCTTGCGCCCGCGCCGACCGCGATTGGGCACATCTCGCCGCAGACCGAGCCGTCGCCGCACACGTCGCCGCTCGGGCACCTGTCGCCGCAGCCGCTTGGGCACGGCTCGCCGCCACCGCTCGGGCAATCCTCGCCGCCGCTGCTTGGCCATGCGTCGCCGCTCGGCCATCTCTCGCCGCAGCCGCCCGGGCACCGCTCGCCGCCCGGGCATGGGTCGCCGCCCGGGCTCGAGCCGCAACCGCTCAGCGCGGGCCTCGTGATGCCGGGGCCGCTGGGGGGGCACCTGCAGACGGCAGGACAGCCGCATGCCCCTCCCACCGAGCAGCGCTGCGCGCCGTCGTCGCTGCTGACGCCGACGCAGCTGCTGGGCCCGGGGCACGGGCCCAGCCCCGCAGAACAAACCATGCTTCGCGTCTCTACGGCGCTGGAGGCCCTCGGGCTGCACAACCCGCCTCCCGGTACTCGAGCGCAGGCCGAGCCACACGACGCGCCGTCTCGTCGCCCCTTGTGAGGGGCGCGCGCCTCGAACCATGCGTGCCATGCGAGGGCGGGCGGTCCGGGCAAGCATTTGCACTCTTGCCGCCGGGACTGCCTGCCCCCGACTATTTCCTGCTGTGTGTGTCGATGACGATATTCCCGCCGGTGTGGCGGGCTCTTCCGCTCTCTCTCTCTCTCTCTCCCTCTCTCCCTCTCTCTCTCTCGCTCTCTCTCTGTCTCTCCCTCTTTATCCATTATCCCTACACTCGTGCCTCTATCTGCACAGAGAGACGTGGGGCTCGTCGAGTGAGTGTGCAGTGTCGCGATCGCGTGCACTTCCGTTTTTTGCGACCCAGCTGATTCCCGGGTCAAGAAGTACATACCATGAGTCTAGGAGAGCCCTCTCGGGTGCCCCTGGGGCGCTGCATCGCTATCGACGTGCCGCCGTGTGGCGCGCGATGCAGACCAGAGGCAGCGGCTTGAGCGCGACGCTCCACTCGGCCCCGTCGCGAGACCTCTCGGCGCGCTGTACACACGGGCCACCTTTGCGAGGTGTGCCGCGGCCGTGGTGGTTATCTACTCCGCCTACACGCGCAGATCGACCAACGCTCGAGTCGACAGTCGCTCGGCCTAACCTGCTTTGCTCTTGCAGCAGCAGGATCGCTTGTCTCTCGCTGCGCGCCTCCGCTGCCTTCGCGCAAGCAATCGTGTCAAGGTGAGCAATCGAGAATAGCTAGCATATCCCGCCCGTAGCGACACACTTCGGTGTCGCTCAGCGAGCACTCGGTCGCCACAACGAACACTGACTGACCCACATGGACATCGGTCCTGTGGTGGGCGAACTCTCCGGAGGAGTTGTGCCCGGGACATGTGGGAGCGGCCCGTGGCGAGTGCCCCACGGGCCTTGCTATACGAGTGCCGCCCCGTCCCCTACCGGCCTAGCCGGGAGGTTCAGCGGGTTAGGGTCCCCGTCGGTCCACCAACCCGACCGGCGCGGGACCCTATCATCGGAGCCCCGCGTTCCTCATCCATTGAGCCCCCCTGCCCCAGCCCCCACGTTGTGGACGGCGAGCTCCCTACTACTGATCTCCCCGGCATGACGGGGATGCGCATAAATTGAGGATGGGAAGAATGTGTATCGTTTTGATTGGGACAGAAAAAATGTAACAGACCTTACAATATCGCAAGGTGTCGTTGTGCCGGGACCGCTTCTTCTTCTTCTGACTATTGCCGTGGTCGCTGCTGTCGCTGCTCATGTGCAAGCCGCGAGGTGTGTAGCCAGCCAGATCCAGCTGCGCAATACGCGAGCGGAGCAAGCGAAGCGCCAGGACGAAGCGCGACGGCGCCCACACACACACCGTCCCTTTGTAACGCTTCACGCGCGTCGCTGAGGCGTGCTGTGAAGGGCTCGCGTGATCGCGAGCATCGCACAACATCGCCATTTATGTATGTAAAGAGTGAATGCAGAAGATCGGACAGGGGAGGGACGCGGCCAGAAAGAGGGCGGGCGCCGAGTTTCGAAAGCCGGCGCTTTCGCGCGTTCGAAGGGGCTTTGCACGGAGTTTGTGCGAAATTTGCGGTTGGCCTTCGCCCTGCGGCGAGATGGCACCGCAGGCGGCGTGCGTGCACGAGGGCGGCGGCGTCGAGCGCCGAGCAGCACACCACGAGCGCGAGCGGCAGCGCAGACAACGCGAGGCAGCGGGCGGCACGACCGAGCCGGCGGCGGAGGAGGCGATGGACGTCGAGGCGGTGAGCGCCGCGGACGTGCTGGCCGGCGTGGAGGAGAGCGGCCCGAACTACGCCCTTCCGACGGCGAGGGAGGGCCAGAGGGAGCGGCGGGAGCGGCTGCGGGTGGACGAGACGGCGAAGCAGGCGGGGCACACCATCGTGGAGACGGGAACGCACGTCGAGATCCTGGGCGAGCAGGGCTTGTGGTGGCCGGCCACCATCGCGGGGCGGGAGGAGGACGTGGACGGCCGGCTCGTGCACGAGGTCGAATACGACGGCCACCAGGGCGAGCAGTACTGGCACATGCTTGACGACGAGCAGTGGCGGCGCGCGACGTATCGCATTTTATCTCGCCAAATATCGCGCGGTTTCCGAGGAGCTGCTAGAGCCATGCTCGCGGCGGCTTCGAGGAAGCGCGAGCGGGTTTCCGAGGTCTGCTTGGGCGAGTACCTTCACGGCCGCGCCACGCCGATGTCTGTTGACTGGGCGCGGCGTGCACGATCGCACGAGGTGGTCACGCCCTCAAACCGTGCCTTTCGACAGCGATTTTGCGCCCGCTGCCAGCACGCCGGCATCGCTCTTCCTGCCTCCCGCGTGCGCGTTGTCGAGGCTTCTCGCTCGCCGTCCAACAGCACGGGCCCAAGCGGCTTTTACAACCGGCTCGCACCCGAGGGTCCAACAGCGATGTGGCCTGCTCACCGAGTTATCAACAACACTCTCGATAGCCAAGGACCGTGGATGGTGATATTGCGCGACGAGGACGTCGGCGAGATGCCGGGTCTCCTCCCGATTCCCTGCGAGCCAGGCAGCGCGGTGAGCTTCAGCATCGGTCGCACACTGAATCCAGTCTCTTGGAGCCCGCCGCCGCTCCGACGCAGCAGCTCAGCGAGCAGCAGCTCCGACAGCCCGGTCGGCGCTAGCCACGGCGTGGCGTCCAAGCAAGAAGCCGGCCGCTCGGAGCCGGAGGGCTGGACGTGGGAGACGGTCCTTGACTGCGTCTGGGACAGCCTCTTTGACTGACACCGAGTGGCGGGGGATCCGAGTCAGAGGTGTGCGTGACGGCGCCCGCAGTGCTCGAGAACTTTTTACCGGCATGAGACCGGTATTTGGTGATATTTTGATGAATTTTGGAGTATTACTAAAAAGAAGCCGGCCGCTCGAAACGTGGTTCGGTCCGCGCAACCGCGGCGGCGGGAGGACTGCCACCGGAACAGAGACCCTCACTTAGCCACCTCATAGGGTACCCTGTGGCCTCTGCACACGATTTCGCACCATAATGGTTGCACGGACTGCCCCCCCTGCGCCCCGCGCGTTCGGCTCCTCCTCTCACCAAAGCGACCCGCCGCCTGGGGCCAAAGAGTACCTAGCTCTTGTCGTCGAAGGCAAAGTCGCTCGGCTATATCTCGACTATATCTCGACTATATCTCGGCTATATCTCGGCTCTATCTCGGCCTTGCTGCCTGGGCCGTGTGTGCGTGTTGTGCGCAGTTGCACGAGCGATGGCAGCCTCCGACCGACGATCCGGAGCGGCGTAACTTGACTTACGCCAAGGGCCTCGTCCCATCCTTGCTCAGCAAAGCCGCCGCTCGGGCGGCGGAGCCGCTCGCCCACGTCACGCGCACGCTGGTACTCGGCTGTTGGTCTAAAGACTTAACAAAGATGTTGGCAGAGTCCAGAGAGCTTTCTTGCGCGCCACCTCGCTGTACCTTAGGTACTCTCGTGTCTCGATGCCTTCCTTCACTACGTTGTCAGAGGTTATTCCCACTTGCAGTCTAAGCAGTCTGTGAAGTCTTCAGACTGGGTCAGACTGGGTCAGACTGCTTCAGACTGCTCAGACTGGGGGAGCACAGTCTGGCGCAGTCTGGCGCAGTCTGACGCAGTCTGGCGCAGTCTGGCACATGTTCAGACTGCACCAGACTGCACCAGACTGCGCCAGACTGGAGGACATGAAACTGCGCTCCGACCGACCCACACTCTCGTGCTCCCCAGTCCCTCGCCAGACTGCGCTAGACTGCGTCAGACTCCGCTAGACTGCGTCAGACTGCGTCAGACTGCGTCAGACTGCTTCAGACTGCTTCAGACTGCTTCAGACTGCGTCAGACTGCGTCAGACTGGAGCAGACTGGAGCAGACTGGAGCAGACTGGAGCAGACTGCGGCACCCCTGACCACCAGGTCTGGGGCCCTTTGCCGGCTGCTCTGCGCGGATCCCTTGCCAGATTTTGCGAGAAGGTTGCGCCCCCCTTCTGCGGATCAAACCCTCAAATGAGAGGAGTCGCGTTGCTTGAGAGGAGTGTGATCACTGGTTGTGAGCACAGAAACATGCGCAACATCAAATTCTTTGCAGCACGGCGATCGTCATCCCGTCCCCGCGCAGAGCGTCCCACGCAAAGCTCAAGACGCAAACCTCATCGAGCGGGCTTCAGCAAGTGATACGCCTCGGAGCATGGAGCGCAAACCCAGAGGGGCTGATTTTGGACAGTCCAAAATGCATCGGGTCAGGACGGATCATTCGTGATGCCCTCGCTTCACATAGGTCCCGCGTGCGCAATTGGGCGTGGACGCGCAGGCGCGGCTCGCTTTGCAAGGTTGCTGAGCACTGTCGGGGGTAGTCCATCCATCCAGAAGAAAAACTCGGTGTAGCGAGATGCGACACGGGAAAAAAGGCCCGGAGTGGAAAAATCTACAGGCCTCGTCAGGCTTTTGCTCATGGTGCATTCACTCACACCACCGCAGTACAATCGATTGAGTCCGGTGTGTCGAGGTCTCCTCTTTCTTGCTTCTGACAGCGTCCGCGCCGGCCTGCTCCCACGCTGGCCACGCATCATGCTGCGCTAGATTGCGCTTTGCGTAGCAATCGCGTAACGGAGGCTCGCCGGGTTTTTGTGGCTTTTTGGGGGGGGGGGTCCCACCTTCCTCTCTCTTCGTTTTTTATGCGTATGATTGTAAGGGCGTAAGAACCCGCCCCAGGACAGGCTCTGGCGTTCTGATGGAGCGCTCTGGTGCCGAGGAGAGCCGCTGGCAAGAGGTAGATGTGAAGCCACGACGGGTCGGTACAGCAGGCCGACGAGAGGCCCCTCTCCAAGATCGACTCCTGTGGAGAAGCCCGCCTAGGGAGTAATTGAAATCTCTAGTCTTTTTTAGAGATTGAGAGCTTAAAGATTTGAAAGACTCCACTCGGGTCTACAGTGCTACCCAGAGATTTGAGACCAGAGATTTGAGATTTGAGACCTCAGTCACTCGGCCTCCGGTGGGAGACTTTGAGATTAGAGACGAGAGACTTGGAGAATGAGATTTCCGACACGAAAAGGAATCTGCGGTCGAGTTCGCTCGAGATTCAAGATTTGAGACTGAAGATTTGGACGGCCTCCAGCCTAGAGATTTGAGAGCTGAGATTTGGAGATTTGCGGCGTGAATACTGAGACAAGAGCCTCGAAGCTTCTAGAAGGGTTGGGTGGGTTTGACCTGCAGTGAGATTGAGGTCTGAGGTCTGAGATTTGAGATTGAGATTTGAGATTGAGATTTGGGGCCCGGGGAGCCTGCGGCGCCATTTTAATCTGCGCTCCTCTTTATGGCCTGCGGCGCCTGGCTTGAGCTTGGAAGTGTAAACGAGTCCGCCAGGGCGGTCTGCAAACACGGAGCGCGCTGCGCGCGCGGTCTACGCCGAATTAGATGAGAGGGACAGCGCTATCCGCAAAGGCTCGACCAGCTGCGGCGGCTCGTCGGCAAAGGTCGTCCACTCCTTGGCGTACGGCTCAAAGCCGGTGTGCGAGTGGAGCATCTGCGTGTCGAGGCGCCACAGCATCTCGCCCTCAAAGATGATGTCTCGCGACAGCTGGACGTACTTGCGAGTCCGATCCATCGCGCTGTCATACGACACCTGCTTGCCCTGAGCCAGCCGAGTTGACTCCTCGGCATATGAGAGGTTGTGCTTGGCGCGGCAATCTGGGCAGCGCTTGCAGTAGAGGAGCCCGTCAAAGCGCCCGTGCGTGCAGTATTCGGTTGGACGGACGGGCTCGTCGCTGACCACAAGGCGCACCTTCTGCCCTTGCAAAGCGCAGACGGCGCAGAACTCAAGGGACCAGGTGGAGCGGCGTGGACTTCTCCTGCTCATGGGAGCGCATGGGGTCGAGAAGATCCACGAGAGCGCTGATGCCCGCCTCGCTCTCGATGCTGCTGACGAGGACGTTGATGGTCGTGGACGCATGCTTTGTTTGCATGTCGGTAGCGATGACCTCTGCGCGATCGGGTGTGTCGACTGGGTAGCGGGCCATGCCGAGGAGAAGCGCGATCTCATCCTCACTCTCGAGCGGCCACAGCTTCGTGGAGAACCGCCTCAGGCGGCGGCGGCGAGTGTCGGCGGCGCAAAGCATTGCAAGCCGAGCGTGCTGGGGCTTCCCGGGGTCCTCAGTCTCAATCTCAAATCGAGTCACGCTGCCACCCTAGATTTGTTTGATTTCGGTGGTGCCGCAAGCGATGTTTTTCGAACGAAGCGAGATAAAGGCGTTCGAAGGTTGAGGAAGTTCACAGCATTCTGCATCGAAAACGGAATCTCTCTTGCTTGCAGTCTCAGTCTCTCCCACCCCTCATCGAAATCTCAAACTCCCAAAGCGAAAAGGAATCTTCGCCATTTGAGATCTCACGCGTTTCCTCTAGCAACTCACACCGAGCGACGGGAAGACTGAGATTTCAGGTGGCTGAAGTCTCGACGAAGATTTGGGAGATCTCAAGGGCGGGACTAGAGACTGAGATCTGCCCTGAAATCTTCAGGTCTCACTCCTCTCAATCTCTAAGAAAGACTAGAGATTTCGATGACTGCGCCTAGGACCATAAAGGGGAGGCCAGATACACTTGACCCGCGCAAAGAGCTAGATGCAGCCGTCACCATTCTACGGCCTCAGAGCGTATGCCTTGCCGCCGGACGGTGGCGGTCGTCTCGGTGGTTTGGGCCGTTTTGCACGACGGCTGTGGCGGCGCTCTGGAGGGGAGGGCGGCCACTTTCGGGTGGTGGATGACCGGCTTTCGAGGTCTTGCAACCCTAGCTGTGACAGCTTCGGACAGCTCGCGCAACCCTGGCAACAGCGGGCCGGCTAGTGTTGAGGCCACCCAGCGCCCGGGACTCCGGGTACCGGGTGCGGGACAAGACGGGGATGGTGGAGGCCCGTCCACAATGGAAATCTCTGCGCAAGAACAGTAGAATCTGGGCTGTATGGGGAGAAACAGTACTCATTAGATTAAGACTGGAGTTCCTAGCGGATCTCTCACACGGACAAGCCCACCCCACCTCACACGGACACCCCCCCCCCTCGCGCTCGAGCGGGCGGCCGCTACGAATCTCTGGGTATGCCGAGATGAGGCATCCTGCGAGCGCGGCCTCCGGACGGCTCCCATCCCTGTTTACTTGTCGAGCGCCTTGAGGTCCTCCTTGCTCCAGACGGAGGGGAAGCACTTTGGCACCAGCTTGCGGATCAGGGGGAGGAAGGCGATGAAGAATGGGAAGATGACCGATATGTACGGGTTTGGCACCTTGGTCAGGGCGTAGAGGACGGCGAGGCAGGAGAACTGGAAGAGCGTGTAGAGGTGGAGCGGTTTGCGCGCCACCTGGGTCACGTAGTCGTACTGCGGGTACTTCTTCGGGTCCCAGATGAGCCACAGCCAGAGCCGCTCGTACAGCTGCACGCCCGGCAGCGCCTGAGGGGTGGGGGAAGGGCGTGTGGAGGGTAGACGTGTGAGTGTGGAGGGCAGAGACTCGAGCAGCGCCGTGACGCCCATGTAGAGGAAGACGCCCGCCAGGACCACCTTCGGGATCTTGGTGAGCACTGCGGAGAGGCCGAGCGCGGCGAGGAGGAGGCAGTGGATGCCCAGGTGCGTCACCCGCTGCTCGACCACGTTGGTCACCTTGGAGACCGTCTGGCCGTGCTCGTTCGTGGAGTCCTCGCGCGTCATGAGCGACATGAGGTGCGACATCGAGCGGACGGTCGCGGCGTGCGTGAAGGGGAGGCCGAAGAAGCCGCAGATGGGGTAGATGAAGATGCCGCACACGAGGAGGTCGAGGTGGTACGCGCCGCCCTTCTTCAGGTTGTGGTCCTTGCGGTTGATGAGCAGCGTCGTCAGGTTCTGGTCGAGGTAGCCGAGCACGGCGAGGCCGAGCGCCGGCACGGCGGCGAAGAAGATGAAGCCGACGCCGGGCGTGTCGTAGCCGGAGGCGGTCTCGTCCCCGAACGGGTTGACGAACCAGCCGCGCGACTCGCCGGTCCCGTTGAGCGTCGCGGTGGGCACAACCTCGTCCGGCATGTCGAGGCAGGGCACGTCGACGTCGCGGAAGCCGTAGTTGATGCCCGAGTAGAGGAGGATGGAGAGGGTGACGCCGTAGTTGGCGACGAGCTTGCGGACGAGCGGCGTCGTCTCGTTGCGCTTGGGGAAGGCGCGGCACCACATGGCGGTGAAGTAGGTGAAGAGGCCGAGCAGCGTGCCGAGGAAGGCCTTTGCGCGGTTGGCCGGCGCCGCCGGGTCGTCGCCCTCGACGTCGGGGTCGGCGAGGTAGAGCTTGATGAGGGTGGTGAAGGCGCCGACGATGAAGATGATCGAGATGAGGAAGGAGAAGATCTCCTCGGTGAAGCGCGTGCACACCTTCATGCACGCCGAGAGGTCGAAGAGCGCGACGAGGATCGTGAAGAGCGAGCACCACAGCGCTTGCCAGACGCGCGCCGCCAGGAAGTCGACCTCCATCTGCCGGGGGGGGGGGGGGGGGGG